ATTCAGGGTTCCTTAGGTCAACGCCCCGACTGTATCGCCTGGGGCCTCATAGGGTTGGGTGTCTCCTGGGAGCTTCCTCGTGGACTGGCCTCCGCTGCAGCCGCGCGCCGCGCGCCGCGGCCGGGAGCGCCGAGCTGGCCTTCCTTCTCCCGGGGGGCGGCGCGCGGGCGCGGAGGCAACCGAGCGTCGTTCCTCCTCCTCCTCCTCCTCCTCCTCCTCCTCCCCTGGTCGGCCCTCCCTCCTCCCCTCCTCCCTCCTCCCTCCTCCTCCTCCTCCTCCTCCTCCTCCTCCTCCTCCTCCCTCCTCCTCCTCCTCCTCCTCCTCCTCCTCCTCCCTCCTCCTCCCTCCCTCCTCCTCCTTCCTCCTTCCTCCTCCTCCTCCTCCTCGTCCTGCACCGGACCGCGCTCCTGGTCGCCCTGTGGTCCCTTGATGCTTAAATTAAGCATCAGAATCGACAACATGCGATTAAGCATCAGACCGCACATGCGATTAAGCATGCACATGCCACTTACACGCGTGATGTACTCATCTACGCCATCACGCTTCAAGAGTTGAGCCAAAATGGCCACGCGAAGGGATGATCTTGAGGGGGAGGTGGAGGAAAGGGAAAACGGGAGGAGGAGGGAGAAGGAGGTGGACGGACGATGGGGGAGGATCGGGAGGCGGCGGAGGCGGAGGAGGTTGAGGAATGTCTAATAATGGGCGGCTCTTGTAGGCGTCCAAGACGGAGGTGTTTTGTTGCTTTGTGCAAAGCCCGTTTGAGCAAACACTGTCGAGGGAATATAATGGCGGATGACGACACACGTGCATGACTCTGAACGGCGCACGCTGCACGCTCAAAGCACTAGGTACGCAATCTTGCGACGGGCGCGGGGTATCGATAGTGTGAGGGGTGGTCCGATATCGAAAATTGTCGCTGGCGTTGCTCAGCCACCAGGAGGGGGGCCAACCACCAGAATAAATCGCAAATGAACACGCCCTCCAGGTTTCCCCCGCTCCCCGCCCCCAGCCCCACCCCCCAGCTGAGAACTCCAAGCCATAATGGCCAGGCAGGATATAAAACATTAAAGGGCTACCTGATGCCTGAAGCCCCCCACGATATCGATATGAATCCAAAGCTCTAGACCCAAGGCCTTCCTTAGAGCCCTGCCTGCTGGAGGGGGGGTCGGTTGTTTCTGGGGGCGGCCCTCGGGGGGGGGCACGGTCGGGGGCGATTGGAGGCTTGATGTGTCAGATGGGGCAGGCGGTCTCGCCGAGAGGCGCCGATGCAAACACAGTGTTGGGGGCATTTCGAGGTCGAACTTTTCCTTGCAAGTCACAGAAACAATTCACATGCATGGGTGGAACGCATGCTTGGAAAGCAATTCTTGCATGCGCAAAAGAACGGTTTGATCAAATGTATATTGAGACGTCAGTCTGCACGTTTGTTTTAATAGTTTGTTCAACGCTTCGTCAACCCACGTGGCATACACCTTTGGATTGCCCATCCACATAGACTTTTCCAGTAGATGGTACACGATGTGGTGCTTTGGGGCAAACGCATCAAATGGCAACATGGCGTTCATGTGCACAGAATACAAACGGAATGATTCGTCGACCTGAACATCTGAAAGACGGCTCGGCGCATGGCCCCACAAGTCTATCAGGCCAACCAGGCTTTCACCAGCAGCAAGAAGAAGAGCATGGTGTGGGCCTGCATTATGTCCAAGCCTGACCAACTCGTCCACCACGAACAAAAGAACCCCCCAGCACTCCGCACCTTTTACACGTAGCTTTTGGTCAGTAAACTCACCGACAGTCGATTTAGAAAAATCTGACACTCTCGTCAGATTTTCTTCTGGCCTTTCTTTGTGCCGCGACGAGTACCATTGCATCAACAACGTGCGGATCACTCTCAAACTGGTGTGTATTTGGTCTTCTTGGTTTGGCAGCCTGGCATAGCAGCAGTGCATTCTGAGAATCCACACTGTTGTTTTGCAAAACACGTTCATAATGCCCAAGTTGATCGCATGGAGAATATCAGAAGCAAGTGCCCGCCTCGGTGTAACCCCGTTGGCGTCTGAGAAAATAGGGTTCCGATGTCGAGTTAAGGTGTCGTTGCTGTTCCGCCAGAAACAAACGCGGAATGTACAGCCTTCTGCAATCTCCATGTCTTTCAATGCCCTAACATCGGGAAGCTCCAGGGTCGGCTCCAGTCGGTCATTCACTTGTAGCCCCAGCTCTGGAACTGCGTGTGTCAGGGCCAAGCCATGGGCGCCATCTGATCTGTGATCGTAGCGAAGCCGAGCCACCACGAAAGCTTTCGAACGCGAAGTCAGGTCGCACCAGATTTCACACCGTTGACAGGCGTCCTCATAGTCAGCCTCCCCGTTCGCGTGCCAGACGAGCCCACGCCTGCCGCACCCGCGCGTGGCATACAATGCTTCGCCATACCCTGCACATTCGTAGCACGGTCGGAGAGCATCCCTCCAACTTGGGAGACCAATTGTCGACACGAATTCGGACCAGTCGCTTTTGAGGTAAAGGCAAGCGCACTTCATTGGCATGGGCTGCCCTGACATACGTTTCCTCTTAGAGTCGAGGGCTCCCCAAGGCGAGCCGTCGTGCCTGCACGTAGGCCACGTCCCTTGACGCAGGCAGTCAAGTGACCACCTTAAGATGCGCCAAAAGCTATGGAAAGAACACCAGCCTTTGCATGAGCATTTGCAGGAGTGCAGTTTCCGAAGCAATCCCACCAAATACCTGGACCCAGTTATCAAGTCTGCGATCCACCATCCGATGACGCTGTCAACATGCGAATACGGAACAGCGTCCACATATATGGCAACAGGCGCCACTAGCTCATGATCGCCCGCTCCTTGAACGACTGGGTGACTGTAATAAACTTCAGGAAACTCGCCTGCGAGTTTTTTCTCTAAGAGCCGAGTGCGGAACGACGCTGATACCATATTCTTGAAAATCTGTTCGTGCGCTGGAATGACGAATGCTGGGCGCCCAACACAATCGAGATCAACTTTGTCTGACGATGGATACTCAAACGTATACAAGTCTTCGTTGGCTCGGTCGTGGCCAAACTTTGCATTCAGATGTCTGGAGTAGTGCCCGCTTGGGGCGCCTGGTCGGAAGCCGTAGTCTTTAGCTTCCGCAACACCACACTTGGCCACTAATAACATGAGTCCACAAAACTGACGGGCGCTGAGCACACGAGAAAAATACAACGTGATCAACGTAGCCACCAGCTCGCACTGCGGAGTTGGATCTTGATCGCCATCGTCTGAATCGGAACACTCCCCCCATTCTGGGCCATCGCCTGGAGGGCCGCCGTCGCCGAGCTCGGCGCCCTGCGCATCCCAGCCCCTGTCGGGGGCAATCTCCCACGAGTGTCGCTTTACCATGGGGTGGAAGAACTGGGTCGCACGCGCAGGCGCTGCCAAAAGCAACATCACGAGCCAAAATGGTTACGATGTTGGGAGAAGGTGGGAGAGCCCCACTGGAGACCTGGAGACCCACTGGAGACCAGCTGGTACTTCTGAGCCCCACTGGAGACCCCCTGGAGAAGGTGGAAGAGCCTCACGATACCAGCTGGTACTTCTGAGCCCCACTGGAGACCACCAACGAACGGCACGCCAACACTGGAGACCACTGGAGACCACTGAAGAACTTCTGAGCCCCACTGGAGACCACCAATTTCCGCCTACGCAGCTGTTCAGGCACCCTCGAAGAATATTCAAACCAGGCTTTCATGTTGAGAGTGCTAGCACTGAAAGGGGAATGCGCGCATCTTACATCGCACCGTGCCCCTCTGGCGGGAACAGCCTATACCATACGCCCTAACCAACAGACCATATGCTATCCCACACAAGCTCGGTGCGAATGGGAATTATTGACGAGGATGATGATGCCGTCTCATCGGCGATTGTACAATTGTCCAACGAACCCTGGACAACGCCAGGGCGCACTGCAGTCACAACTGCAACGTGTGGCATTGCAACGCTCGCGGCCTTCAACCCCGAAGAAGGCCGTCAACCCTACGATGTCAAAATTGACACTGCGAGGAGAGGAGGGGGGGGAGGAGGAGGAGGAGCAGGAGGATAAGGTCGAGGATAGGGTAGGAGGGAGGAGGGAGGAGGAGGGAGGTGGACGAGGAAGCTGGCGGCGGTGGAGGACGAGGTGCAGGTGGAGGACCTCCTCCTCCTCCTTCTCCTCCTCCCTCCCTCCCTCCCTCCCCCCTCCCTCCCTCCCTCCTCCCTCCCTCCTTCCCCTCCCTCCCTCCCTCCCTCCCTCCCTCCCTGCCTCCTCCCTCCTCCCTACTCCCTCCTCCCTCCTCCTACGCCTCCCTACCCCCTCCTCCCTCCTCTCAGCCGCTCAGCCGTTCACAGTCCAGGCCGATCGCAGAGCATGCCTGAACAAATCAACCAAACCACAAGGCACTGTCAAACAGATTTGTCTAACAGCCATGCTCCCTCCCTCCCTCCCCCGAGAGGGCCCCGACCCAAGAGAGCCAAGAAAGGGGGCTCGGTGTCTCATTCTCGTTGGTTTGTTTGGGTTGGGGCGGCCCCTTCGTTCGGATTCAAAGCGACACGAACCGACAACCAGCCCAAACCAAATTTAACGAAATTTAATGGAAATTTAACGTTAAATTTGCTTTTGCATGGGTCGTTAAATTATCATGTTTCTGTGTGCCCGCACACACAAAATCACGATTTAACGCTACGATTTAACGATACGATTTAACGACGATTTAACGACCCGTTTTTTTCAGAACTGCCGAAAAGCACATCGAATTTGTGAAAACCATAGCCCTGGCCCAAACGCAGGACCCCGATGCCCCCGCCTTTGATCTCAGAGACGGCGTTTGGTGCCGGTTTGGAGGGTTCTGTTCCGGGAATGGAGGACGTTCCCGTTCCGCTCTGCTCGACTGGAACAGTTGGGGGGGGGTGCAGGGCCGAGTACGATGGCATTAGTTAGCTCATCCCCGACACAGCGGTGAGCACTCAGTCGCTCGCACCGCACGACAGGTTCTCGTGCGCCGCGTAGAGCGCACGCACCTTGGACTCGATCGTATCGACGCTCTTCTTGTGACCGATGAACCTCCCCAGCTCCACGTGCAGCATCTCCTTCGTGTACTTCTTCTTGAGGTCCTTGAAATCACGAGAGCGAAGGATCTCCTTATCCATAGCGGTCAACGGCTTGTCGAAGTTCTCCCTCAGCGTCACCAGTCGCCCTCGCTGGCGATGGATGCCATCAGTTGAGAGCTGTTGGCCATCATTGCCATGACCTTGGACTTGAACTTTGTCGCGGTGGCCAGGACCGATGTGAGCTTGACCTCGGCGGGCTCCTCGTTCGGCGTGGGAGGCTGCGGAACCTGCGCCTGAGGTTTCACCCTGGGCACCTTCTGGGGCTTCGGGTTCGGGTCGACGGCGGAGCCCGACTGGCCATCGGGGGCGACATTCTTCATCTCGATGTATTCGGACCACGCTTTGTTGAACTTCTCCACCCAGCCGAACTGGATGATGACGTACTCCATGATCCCCGTCTGGGGGTGGCGCTGGATCCATGGAGGGCCCAACGCGATGCACTTCTCCACGCCCCTGATGACGCCGTCCGCAATCATCGGGTCCGACCTTCCGCCCATATCCTCGAAGATCTTGGCGGCCGTCCGATAGTGGCAACCTTGGAAATCTGTCTTGGACCACGTAGTCGTCTGGGATAGTATCGCCTCCCGTTCTTCGGCCTTGCTCTTCAAGAAGTCCAAACGAAACTGCTTCGCTTCACCCCTGCTCAGCGCCCTGTACTTGTCCCCCGCCTCCGTGCCCTTCTTGTGCAGCTCGCGAAAGTGGTTCGCCATCGTACTCTGAATGGGGAACCCGCCATCAGCAATGTACCCGTGGAGCTTGGCGAGCTCGGGGTCATTCGACTCCGTCGCGCCGCTAGCCTCGTCGACGCGCTGCGACCCCATGGCGTTCAGGCGCTGCTCGTGGAGCAGCACGTTCTGGGCTGTGAGCTCGGCCACCCTCGGCGCGACCGACGTAGCGTTCCTGAAGGCGACCTCCTCTGCCGACGGAGTCCCCGACGGTGTGCCCGCAGGGTGCGGGAGCCCCGCGTGCTCGACGACTCCAACTCGGTCAAGGCCAGGATCTCGAGGCTCGATCTTGATGCCACCACGATTGCCCGATTCCATCTTGGGGGCGGTCACCGTCAGCAGGCTCGACGACTCTGAGGCGACGTCGTCCATCGAGCGCTTGACGCGGAAGAGCCTACTCATGCCCTCCTTGGTCACCGAGCCAGAGCCAAAGGTCTTCCTCAAGTCCGCGCAATCGATCGCATCGGGCGTCTGTGGCGTGTCCGCTGCTGGATTTGTTCCTGGCGGCGATGCAGCCGCATGCGCTCCGAGCGGAGACGCAAGTGGCGTTGCAGGAGAACTAGCAGGGGAGGCAGCTGGCTTTCTCATCGCGCGCTTAGCGGTGCTCCGCCTCGGTGCCATGTCGGGGTGGTTTGAAGAGATTGCCGAAAGCCTCGTTTGAACCACAATGGACTACGGATGATGCTGGCATGCCCACCCCCCAATCGAGAAATCTCACGCGGGGGAAGGGAGCTCAAAGTCGCGCCCTCAAGGATGGCGAGGAGGGCGGGGGAGCGAGGATTGGAGGTAGTTGCAGCGGATCGTTCCTCCGAGTTCCAGACATCTGAAGACCTGGGGTCGAGGCTCGAGGGGGGCCCAGGATCGAGGTGTGAGGATCGAGGAGGATCGAGGCTCGAGAGCAGGATGATCGAAGACCGATGACTATCGAAGAGGATCGATAGTCGAAAACTTGAGGAACGTCACCTGGCGTCCTCCCTGGCACGCATCGCGAGACATGTCACCTGAGGCCCGTGGTTGCAGGCAACGGCGGGTCCCGCGGGGGCCCACCGCATCATTTGACACGTCGCCGTTTCGGATGATGATGCTGATGATGATGATGGTGATGATGATGATGAGTGTGATGATGATGCTTGTGATGATGATTGTGATGTTGAGTGTGATGATTGTGATGATGATTGTGATGATTATCATTATGTCGAGGATGTTTGTGATGCTGATTGTGGTGATGACGATGATGATGATGTTTTTTTTTCTTGGCTCGACCACGGTTGCACTCAACGTGAGTTTTCGGCATCTGTGCGAGCAAACGTATGTAGATCTACGAGCTCCTGAACAAATCAAGTGCATCCATCTCTGGAGGCGCTGAACAGCGCTGAGCTTTTCCATCGCCAACGGCATCATTGTCGCTGTCCGCTCCCGTCGTGTCGCCACCATCCTTGCTCTTCTTGTCACGAGATCCACTCTCCGCCGCAGCAGGGCGCTTGCGAGCCGCCGAGCCCTTGACGGGCCCACTGGCGTCGCCCTCCATCTCGGTCGGCGCGTCCGTCGCCGCGGCCGCAGCAGGCTTGCGTAGAGCTGCCCTGGCCCGACGACCCGAACTTTTCAAGCCAAGGTCCGTCAGCAGTTTGTCCCGATGAATCTTGAGGTCGTCCTTGTTGATCTTGTTTGCAGCGAAGTCCTTGGCGATGGGAAGCATGAACTCGACTGCGCCCTTGTAGGCGGGGTGGGTGGCACTCACTTGCTCGTGCTCGTTCTCGATCGCACCCCAGATGTTCATATTGACTGCGAGGACCTGGCGACCCTGCTCGTACAGCGAGAGCAGCAGAGTGCGATCAACCCTCTGGGCCAGACTGATCCGATGCTTTGTTTTCACGTGGGACGCTTCCCAAATAGTCGATGTTCTTGTTGTGTTCGTCTGTCGATGCCGCAACTTGTATGACCCAACTGTTAATTCTGCAAACTTCATCTCGTCCCCATCTGGCCACTCCACGGTCACCAAGTCAGTATCATTGCTCGGCACCTTATCTGAATTTATCGCCAAGCTCGCCTCGCCCTTACCTTTGGTACCCTGTTTGCGCCTCCAGCCCAGGCACACGTCCCAATTAAACTCGTAAATGAAGCCGTTCTTCACGACGTACTCTGCTGGCTTATGAGACAATGACGTGTTTGCTTTGGCCGACGTTGCCTCAATTGGTTCCGAACCCACCCAAGGCATTTGTCTATACCACTTTGGTGCCTGTTTTTTGGAAGCCGCCTGAGATACAACATGGTTTAGATTCATGATCCTATTCTCCATTGTCTCTTTCCAGTCATCCACTTGTTCTGCGGTCATGCTGAAATTCTTTTTCTTAGTCAACAAAATACTGAGAGCCGACTTTACTTTGCTTCTTTGGAAACTGAAGTTCGGCTGAATGTCGTGCTCCTTTTTTAAGAACTCAATATTCACTGCCATGTCTTCTGTGACAACAGTCGCTTTGCTGGTTGATTTAGCCTCGCACCCGTACTTCACTAAAGTTCGGCCTTTCTTCTCTGCGATCGGCTCAAGAACAGATTTGAAATAGTCATTCGGAGTTCCTTGATACGTATCCCTGTTCTCTTTTGCAATCTTTTGCTTTTTCTTCCCAGGCATTCAATGTTGGATACCGAAGTCTGATGTGCAGTGCGGTGCTCGCAGTTTGAGCCAAATGGCCGTCTACGGTTGTGAATGTTTGATTGGGCGTCGTCTTCCTCGCCTTCCTCCTCGCCCCCTGCTTCCCGCTTCGTCCTCCTCCCTCCTCCCTCCTCCCTCCTCCCCTGCCCCCCTCTTCCTTTTTTTGTTGTCTCCTCGCAAAGGGGGTAAAGCGCGCATACCAACAATGAAACTAAACGTCAGCGGACATCTGATTCACAACGCGAGGGGTTCGGGGAGGCATTGACTTATTCAGAACGTGTTCAGCGCTCGGCTGTCCGAAACTGCTAAAACATAACACTTTTCTAAAGAAGCAAGGCCATGATGCTTAATATGTACTGATTAAGCAACATAACGCTTGATGCTTAATTTAAGCATCAAGGGACCACAGGGCGAGTCCCCCGCGCGCCTGCCGGCGTTCCGGGCCCTGGCCTTCATGAGGGCAGGGAAAACGACGCGAGGAGGGCAGGGAAAACGACGCGAAGATCGGGACAAAATCAGATCGGGATAATGAACTCGAAATCTCTGAGAATCGGCGGGTTTGGAGGATGTCTTGGGCGCCGCGGCCGCTCCAGAGCGTTCCGGAACGCTCTGAGATCGCTCCGGAACTCTCTGGAGCCGGCATAAGCATAAACTTTTTGGCGCTCCGCGCGGATTTTTCTTGGATCCGCGCTGGGACCCCCCCGGCGGCGCTTCTGGCGCGCTCCGCGCGCCAGGGAGGGGGGTCCAGCGCAGATCCAAGAAATCCGCGCGGAGCGCCGAAAGTTTATGTGTATGCCTTTCTTCTTCTTCTTCTGAATAAGGAAGACGCGCCTATCGCTTGTTGAAAGTATGTATTTCCCGATGTACCGATTTCACTATATGCCAAGGTGCACACAGAAAACCCCAATCAGTGTATTCCCAGATGCTTGCTGGCATTCTACGCCTGCCCGTTGTTTGTTGCTGTTGTGTTGTTGTTTCTCTCTCTCTCTCTCTATATATATATATATAGATACATGTATCTCTCTTTCTCTCTTTATGCTTGCTTTTTTGTTCTGAGGAGGAGGAGGAAGAGGAGGAGGAGGAGGAGGAGGGGTAGGAGGGGTAGGAGGAAGAGTCTTAGGACCATCACTTGGCTAATGGGGAGGCTAGGGGTTGGCCGACCCGACCCTAACCCGAAACCTCGTGGCACAGCGGCCATGGGTGGCGCTGAGACGGCAGTGCGCTGCCGACGCTGAATGCGGTGCTGGGGCCCGGTGTGGCCTTGCACACCAGGCCTCAGCAGCACCGTACCGCCACCGCCCACTATCGTGGGGGGTGGGGAAGTGGGGCAGAGCCACTGTCGGGGCGGACTGGCAACCCAAGTCCACCCCCGTGCTCAGAGGCCCCCTGGGGTTGTCGCCTGGCTGACGGAACCCCAAAGCTCGGGTTCTAGGGCTGGCTGCGTAACCAGCACCGTCAGTCCAGGAAAGATGCTTTGACTCCAGGAGACAGCTGTGGGCTGAGGCGAAGCTGCAGCCCTGTGCCGCGGAAGAGTGTGTAGCGCTCCTTCCTCTTGAGGCGGGGTGCCTGACACGCGTGCAGGACCACACACGCACGCACACACGCACAGTACTCAGTTGGGCCCAGATGTGGCGTTGCACAGCTGGCCACAATCCCGTTCCTCCGCCGCCTGTGGTTGGGAGGTGGGAAGGTGGATCTGGGCAGGAGTCAGGGTGGGCAAGGGAGCCCAAAGTTCACCCCCGTGCTCAGCAAAGTGGTTGCGCCAAACAGCACTCTGCAGTGAAAAGGACGGCATGCCTCGCCTGGCTGGCGGTACCCGAAAGCTCGGGTACTGGGGCTGGCTGCGGGACACCAGCACCGCCAGTCGGAGCGATATACAAAACCCCAGATCGAACCTGCATCGGGCCAAGGCGTAGCTGCAGCCAATGCCGCAGGAGAGAGAAAAGAAAAGAGCGCTCCTTCCCCCTGAGTCGGGGTGCCTGACACGCGTGCGGGGAGCGCGCTCGCACACACGCACAAGTACACAGAGAATGAGGCAACGCCAGGACGACTCGGCACTGCCCACCCCTGGTGTAGAGAACGCCAGGACGGTGGGCAGGCCTCATCCCTGGTGTGGGCCAGTCTGCGCCTGGGCTTGAGCTGCCTCTCTGACCAGCTGCGCTAGCGGCACGGAAGGGAGACTGAGCACAATCGGGCTGGTGGCGGCTTTCTTGGGATGACGGCCACACTGTGCCCTCTGTAGCTGCAGCTTAGCCCCATTATGGGGCGGTCTCACCTTACAATCACCAGACAGGAAGAGTGTTAGGAGGAGGAAGAGGATGATGATGATGATGATGATGATGATGATGATGATGATGATGATGAGGAGGAGGAGGAGGAGGAGGAGGAGGAGGAGGAAAATGATGATGGGGAGGAGGAGGAAGAGTTTCCAAGCTGATCGTCCGGCGATTGCACATGCCAGCCTGACGGTCAATGTGAAAGGGATCTTGGTGTGGGTAGGGGGGGGTGGAGGATTGGAAATTGATTGCGTTACGCTGCAGTGGTCAGGTTTACCCTCGGCATCGGTGAACATACTCCTCACTGGGGTCTGTCGAAGAGTGCCTTGCAGTCTTACGCTTCACCCGTATGTTGCGACAGCGAGTTTGCGAGCGACGCGTCCGCGTCCGCCGCTTGGCTCGAGCGGAACGCGCCCAAGTGTATGACTACCCCGATCTCGGGGTAGTATCGCACCCGAGTCCTGGAAGAATGTGTTTGACGATTCATTATCTCATCCCATGTCCTACCCATCATGTACCTGCCCATGCCCACTGTATGGACAAGC